AAACACCAATTTGTAGTTTTTACCATGTTTACATATATTTCATGTATGTCACCATATACTATATAAGAGCATGTGTAGTTTAGATTACAGTTTTATATTTAGGAGGGTTTGCAACATATTAGCTAATACTTGGTGTAATTAACAATGATTTTTCCATATAAATTTGGCAATTAGCACAAACGGCACAATATTGTGTTTAGTTATAGAGAAATTAGGCTATATATTAATCTCTTAAGACATAATTAAGAGACTAAATTTAAGTAAAACAAAATTAGGTATCTAAAATTTTTGCCACATGAAATTTTTTTTTTGCCCCATGATTCAATGCTCTATATAGCTAACTATTAAAATTCGAAGTACATAATGAACTACATATTTAACCATTTTTATGATTTAATGCTCTACATAGTTAACTATTTTATGATAGAATAGCTAACTATGCTTACATACAATGTTCTACATAGTTAGCATAGTTAACTACATACAATGCTTTACATATTGTAAGTAAGCATAGTTAGCTATTTCATGATTCAATACTCTACATTGTTAACTATTTTATAATATAATAGCTAACTATGCTTACATACAAAACAAACTACAAAGTTAACTAGATTTAGCTATAAGTGTTAAGTAGAAAACTATTAGCTTAATAATAGCTAATTATGCTTACATACAAAGCAAATTACAAAGTTAATTAGATTTAACAAATAGTACCAAAAGATATACAAATGATTGAATAGTGAACTATATTACTTATTAATTTTTGCAGGGATATTTTTATCTATTATTTTTCTCTATCTCCTACATAATCAAATTTCAGTATGCAGTAATTAGTTACTTAATTATACAGCCCAAAACAAATATTAAACTAATTAACCCTTAGTTATATCAATTAGACCATAGAGTAATTTTTGTTAGTTTTCTAATTATAATTTTTTTTGGTTATTAAGCAAATTAACCCTAAACTAAAATGTTCATTAAAAACTACATTTATAAACAAAAAAGTTATTTAGGTTAAGTGAAAAAAAAAACATTATCTTATCAGAAGTCACACTCACACAAGCCAGCGAAAAACACAAGAGTAACCATCGGAAGCGATTCTGAGATGGCGATAACTGGAGAAAACGACGGAGAAAGATCCAGCGACGATCGTTCTCCGAAGAGGCAACGATTTCCTTCTCTC